TCAAATGCGACGCTTTGCTTACGAGTTCTGACGGCAATGTCAAGTGGTTGTATTTTCGCGGGCCACGTTGGTGGATGCGATGTTGTTTGTCTTGACAAACTAACTTGGTCGAGCATGAGGTGTAAAGAGTCACTAAAATCGTACCGCATTGAGAAAAAATGATTGATCTAACGAAAATTTGTTATTTTTAGTTCTAACCATTTTTCTTGGTTGTTCTAACATGAAAATGGTAATATGCATATGAGTTTGTTATCGCTAAAATTGTAATAGAATTTAATAAAAAATAGTTTTCTTAGTCGTAATACTATATATACTATACAATAATGGCAATATTAATTTATAATAATTCTCTGTGTGATTATAGTTATAAATACCAAAAACCAAAAATCGTATTTCATCAATTTTCTTATTATTATTGAATATGAACGATATTTAACGACAACAAAAGTAATAAATAAAGAAGAGCAATGAAAAATATAAACAAATTTCAGATTACATTTTCATTTGCGTGCTCCAAGCATTAAAAAAAAATCAGATACGATTTCGGATATCTTCGCTTACGTGACACCGGGAATATGATTTGATATTGTTATTTGTTAGTAAATCTATATATGCGTAATTTTAGGAGTGGGAGTATTCCTGTGCAGAACAGAGATCCATTGACCTCTTTCGAGGCATTCCAACTCGTACGATTTTTCTTGGAATATCTCGTGTGTTACGTGCCCATTATATGTATTCAAATTGAGATGTTATTGATTGCGAATTCTACGTATTAATCTCGTGATACGGTGATTATGGTGCGCGCACGCATATAGATACACGTATACTGGCTCGCATTGAATCTGTCACTATCTATCATACCGACAATGGCATCGACAAACGAGTTTGCGCAAATACGTTCCAAAGGTAATTAAATCGCGTTTTGATGGAGACTAATGAACTTTTCATCAGAAATTACTTAAATTATTGTCGGTTGCTCGCTAACTTCGATATTTGGCGCCAATCGTGCAATATTCTATTCTGGCGAATAATAATCATTCGTGAACGTCGATACATTGCGTGTTTACATCCAAAATGTACCGAGAAGCATCTTTAAACCTTTCACTTCTGAATATGTTTTCCCATGATTGACATATCAATTTCTAATAGTAATTCATAACGGACATTATATAATTAATTTTTTTATTTATTAATAAAAACTGTAACTTAATGGTTTTCATTTGGAAAAGTTTGGAAAGTCGGAAAGTTATCATTTCTAGTTTTTAATGAAAACTGCGACACATACGCTACTGAAAATATCGCGCGGTAACAGAGTGCTTAAAACTTAATTATTATACAAACAATATAGTATACACAGAAAAATATATACTGCGTTCAAATAAATATTACTTGTTTCAAGTGTTTCATAAGTTTATGTATTCGCAAATCTATCACAAGTTTATCATAAGCATTAAATTTATTCAAGTGAATTGTAGTAAAAATTAGCATCTCAATCAAGAATATTAAATTAAAACAAAAATTTGGTTCGTTCAATACATAGCGTGGATTCAACTTTTTTTTCGATAGTTTTATAATATTCCTGTAAAAAGAGAATCAATTTTTCTTTTGAGTACATGATAATATATGAATTTTTCTCAAATTTGTGGTAAGTATATTTATAAGAGATTATATTATGAAGTATCCTTTGTTGAAAGTCACCGTTACTTAAAAGAAAATCAACTGAGTAATTGCTTAGTAGTGGAATAATATTTCTCTGTGTGTAGATTTTGAACTACTCTGTGTGTTTTTCGACATGTGTATTTCTCTAGTAGTGAAAGAATTAAATAAAAATTAATGAGCGATTCGTATGATCAGCAATATATGCAAGCAGTAATAATGCATGTAAAAAGACCAATTTTGATATTTGAGTTATCGTGAAATATATGAAAACCGCAATAATTAAGCATTTGTGCATGTTTTCTACGAGCAATTAAATATAATCACTTGGACATAATTGAGATAAAAACATGAAGGAAGTTACGTTACGCCGGAAACATCGCAATTATTCAGAATGAAAAGAAAAGCCGAGTTAATAGTCGACGTAATAATCCCGTTCGGTGCACAACGATCCATTGAATAATAACTATCTCGTTGACTGGTTACGCAAGTAACAACGCGAGTCGGAAGAGGGAAGCCAGACCGCGTCGTCCCTTCCTCTGGGACCTCACCGGGTCCTACCTACAAGTTTCCAGCGCTCCGCGGGGACGTCTCTTCTAAAGCTCCCATCTTCCATCAGTACCGATGTACTACGATACTTGTAACTCGATTGGGAACCCCACGTGGTTCGCGACAGAGTTACGTTTACCTAGCTGAAGTAATTTTTTTTCTCCAGCTGATATATAGCGCACAAGAGCGCGAATGTTCGCAAGGGTGTTTTCTTGCGCGTGCAAATCGAATAAAACAGTTACAGGAGAGTAGTGGAGAATTCTCGTATAAAAAGTCGCGAATAGATTGTATTAATTGTTCCTTGAAAAAAACGATCGATCGATGAAGAGAGCACAGAAGACAAGGGAAAGGGAGAAATCCAAAATGAAGCTTCAAAATTTGTATTATTTCTTCGCACGCGATTCTTGCGGCGTCTGAAAGTGCGGATTTTTTGAATGACCCGAGGCGAAATCTTCGCACGGCCGCAGTTTCGAAGAGGATCGACGAGATCAGATTTATCTTGATGTATTATTTAGTGCCTTCCATCATTCCTTTTCTTGTCAAATAACACGTTCCCGTGTTCAATCAGGGGCGACGCATCATGAATAAAACATCTCGTCTAAATTTCGCAACTTTCGGAGTTACTGACACAAAGCGAAAACTGGAAAGTGTACGCTTGTAACTGGTTGGAAACCCTTCACATATCGGTTCCCGATAGAGGCGCGTTAACATCGGTTGCTGAAAGTTTTATCTCCGAATTGAATACCCGAAATGATATCACAGTACAATATGATGCGATAAGAAGAAGGGAAGGTTTCACAATTGTTAAATAAAAGGTACCCCACGATCACATGTACGTTACATCGTGCCAAGAATCACTCCATTACATGTGAAAATACAAGTTGTGACTGAAGTTAGAATTTCTTTCTTATTTCCAATGTACACGTGTATCTTTGCGAACCTTCGACGAGATATGAATTCTCTCCTCGCATAACGTGTTAACAAATATTTTTAAATAAAAATGTAATTACAATGGTGCCAACGACATAACAACGAAATTTTTCTTAGTCAATGGTCTGTCACATTGTATATTCTTTTTTATACCGACAGGCTGTGCCCCATTGCTTTTTTCAGAGCTCGTGATTGATCTGCGGAGAATTGTTTCTCGTCGTAAATCCCGAAAGTAAATAAACATAAATCTCGCATTTCGCGTCGCCTTTATCCACCGACCGGGCTTTCTTAATATCGGCGCTCTTTCGGTTCGACTGGATTACGCAAATGAAATATTCAAGGCGTCGCAGTTACACGTTCCTTGCCCTTGCCGCGCTTGAAAAGGGAACGACAATAAAGAATGAAGCTCGTTTCTGGTCCGGCGGTCTGGTCCCGCGGGTTAGGCCGCAGAATCGAGAGGAAAAAAAAGAAAAGAAAGATAAAGAGGTAGAGAAAAAGAGAGAGAAAAGGAGAGAAAAGGAGAGAAAACGCGAAATATTTCTTGGAACCTCGCCGTCTGAAAGTCTCAGTGCGAGTACAATCGGTGGTTGTTCTTAGGTTCTTGCACCGGGATCCAACCAGCACGAAAATTCACGAACCCGAGGGAGGGAGAGAAAAGGCGCGAATTATTAAAGTTCGCGAGTCTGCGGAGAAAAAGAGGAAAGTGTAATAAAATTTTTCTCATATCGCGACGGAATGGACCAACAGACTTCTGGCGCGAATCACGCGAGATTTTACTAATTTTAACAAAATATCCCGTCGATAGTTCCATAAAAGAAAAGGAAGATATCCCACCCCTCTTCCTCGCTTGGATCAATACCTGACACTTTTCTCCGTGCCATTGTCTAAATTCAAAATTTTTCCTCAACGAGAGAGACGTGAGAATTAATTCTGAATATTGCGGGGCTCGATAAGTGCTTCCTCGCGTTCGAGATAACGTCACTGACCGTGCTGGTAGAGGGACAATGGCGGCAACAACAATTCGTTAATTAAATCAGACGACGGGAGAAACAAAGGAAAGGAAAATTCTGTGCTCTCTTCCAAACCGATGAGATAGGCCGGAATACTTCAGGCTTTTTCTTTTCGTTGGTAATGAAAAATTACGAGCGCAAGAATAACAAAAAAAAAAAAAGAAAAAACGCGATTTTATGGGATTGAATGATGCACTATACTGCTCTTAATTACTGGGCTTGCACTATCGGCAAACTCAGTCTCGTGTTATGAAGTGGTTCCACGGAACTAACGACGAATGTACTTGGCCGACTTTCTTTGTTCTTTCTCGCGAGATGTTCATTCGTGTGCGAGCGGTGTGAGCTATATTACATAAATTTCGGAGTACTCGGACGATCTCGTGGGGCACAGTTGAAGGAAGTTTTCAATGTTTGAGAACGCTGGCGCAAAGGAGTGTCACGGGAAAATCGAAGGAAATTGTATCAGTTTTCGAGAATAATTTTCTCTTTTGTGAAATATCGCATATATGTTCAGGTGTGCTCTCATTCATTTCTAATATTTTTAAAGCATTTCGCTCAAAATCTCGTTTATTGCGCATCGTGAACTTTTATCTATCTTTCTCCATTGCGACAAAAAATTTTAAGATATGTGGTATAATTATAAAACATTATATATATATATATATATATATATATATATATATATATATGTATATATATATATATATATGACCGCACAAAATATAATTGCTTAAAATATAATCTAGGAAAAGTTGAAAAAAAATCACATTATTTTTCGGCATTAAGTCGTTAGCTACAGGATGGAGTATAAGAGTTCACGATTCACAATTTATATATTATTCACAATTTACGTACCTTCGGAGTCTGAGGTGTCCGACAACGGGGGCTCATTGGCGATGTACTGGCGGCCGCTCAGCAAATTGTTTTCCACGACCGGCCGTTTGTCCTCCAGTTGCCTCCTGAAGCCACGATGGTCGTCCTGCGAAGGAGACGCGTAAATCGTGAAACAAAAATAAAGGTGGGAGGAAGTGAGGGACGTGGGGCGCATCTTGGTGTCTGGTGCAGTGCCAGGTTTACTCTTGGCGTTCGACTCCACTCCGTCGAGGAGGTAAGAGACTTTAAGAGATCACGCTCGACTAAATTCGCCCGTCTACTGTGATAAGTAGAGTAGCTCGTAAACGTGGACGACGTCGCGCATGCAATCGATGATGTCGCGTCGCGACGTCATTTGAAGACCGTGTCATATAAAACTAATTTAAAGATGCCTGAACATGACTATAAAAGTCTAGATATCTCCACGTTATTTTTAAATCGCTGAAAATTCTGCGACGATATGTACACACACACACCAACACACACATACACACACACACACACGTAAAAGACTGAGAGCGATGAAATATCGCATTACGGCAGGCTCGCGAATGCCATCGGACGCTGCAACGTCGCCCACACGGAGAGACGTCGGCGTGTGCATCCGTAATTGTGTTTGACGAAGCGTCACACCGGGGGTGGGGAGACGGTGGAGGGGAGGGAGGTTGAGAACTAGCCCGCTGCAGCCGGCGAGGAAAAGTCGAGTGGGTAAAAAGGCACTCTTACGATATTGCGCACCTTCCAGTTAACGAGATTATCTCTTCGTTCGCGGGGTTAAGGGCTCGCTGCGGGAAAGACGCCGCGGGCTTTTTCGCCGCGTTCGCGAAAGACGCCCGGATAGCGTGTTCGCCTAGTTGCGTCTTCCCTCTTTCTGTTTTATCCTTCTTCTCTCCTTTTTTCTTCATCCTTTTTTTTCGCTTTTCCTCTTTTTTTTTCATACCGCTCCGAGAAGAAAATCGCGAGCAGGACGCGAGTGTGTAATGCGAGGAGCGCTTTTAACTGTCGTCCCTGAGTAAAAGATTTAAAGAGATCGCTACGGCGGTTGCGAATACTGAAGCGAGAACGTCACTTCGGACTTCGCGGATAAAAATACAGCAATTTTCGCGGTCGCGAAAACAACACACGCGCCACAGATTAAGTGACGTCGTCCGTATTTTTTCAGCCTGGTCTCGATATCGATTTGTGTAATTTTTTAGCGTTTTGCCGTGCGAACAGCACATGACACATACACCGCCAACGATGAGTGCCGTTGTGTCATCGTCGGTTGAAAACGATTGCTTTTTTTTTAGGAGTAACGTCACATATTTCTTCAGGAACGCGGGGATTTACGCCGTGCTTGTGCAAACGGGGGCGGATCGGAGAGAAAATGATACAACGCGCATAACGCAGCCATGAACAAACAGAAGCGTGTGTTGTGTTATCGCTTTTGATTTAATAAACGTACAGGTTTAATTCGCGTTATGTGCATGGAGACAACGCATAAAGAGCCATCGTGATTTGAACAGCCATTCATCGCCACTTGTTTAGCAGCAATCGGATATTTATATGGAAAATCGCGTCGAGAGAATTTAACCTGCCAGAAAATAAATTGATGCGGCGCATTAAATCTATTGTTAAATAAATTGGCTCGGTTGTGCGCCACGTAACAGATCTCAGCGATGTAGCGGCCATTAATCATTCTTACATTTTTCTTCGTTATTTTCTCTGCCCGCTTCTCATTTCGAAGAATGATGGCGCGACGCGGCGCGGCGTGAGTGATAGAATTCTCATCGCGTTTGTCCTTTAATCTTTTTTTTTCGCCTCGCGCTCTCTCGTAATTCCCGTCGCACAGATTTCTGTTCCGGGGCTCTTCGCCACCGCGAAGAACGAATTACTGGATCGTCCATAGATCACGATCCCGCCGGGCGCGATCCCGTGATCGATCGCAGATCGATATGCGAGGACACCCTCTTCGCCGATGAACAGCGAATTGCAGACGGATCGGTGCGCCAAGTAATCCATTCGTCGTACACTTGGTATGGAAATTTACGCGTGGCACGCTATCAGATTCGCTGGGCTAATCGAAAGGTCGATGAAGAAATTAGAACGTCCGAAGAGCTATTTGTCCAATTAGATCGTCACCAAGACGCTCTCCCTATCAAGGAGGTTATCATTACGAGAGGTTAATTACGAGATGCACGCGACAACAATGCGTTGATGCGTATCTCGATAATGTACGAGCACCCGACACTGGAGAAATCTTCAGCGTCTCGCTGCTGTCAGTGCTCGACCGCGTGCCATTATCGTGCCGAGGAGATAAATTGCTCCAAAACAATTTCATTATACAGTTTCGCGCGCGGGCAGAAAGAAAATTCGGTTTCTTTCTCTCTCTTTCTCTCTCACACACACATGCTGTGCGACATGGCAAGACAAAAACGTAAGGAGACACGATGGAACTCCTTCTGTCATGAAGACGAAAGAATCTAAACGCCGACCATCCGCGACGAACTCTCGATAAGCAGCTTCGAGAGCCAATATCACGGAGTCGCGCGCGCTCATCAATACTCCAGAGCAATTTCTTCCTGATGGGCGAGCGCGTTATCCTTTATTTACGAGCCATCCACATGGACGAATCCCGTGGCAATCGATGCTATTATTCGTCAGGGTAACGTTAAATATTTCACGAGCTACGAACGCCGACGGACCTCTCCATAAACAATGGGGATGACATCGCGGCGAAAGGTCCGGGCCGATCCGAAAGAAACACACCGACATAAATTCCACGGGGCTGACACTCGGTGCGCCAAAGTGCTTCCCCCAAAAATAACCTCCGAGCGCGATCGTCCTCGTGCAGTACGGCCAGGGTGAGTTCCCGCCACCGTCGGGCGAAAATATCAATCGTTCGCGCGGCAGGTGCACCGCCGTCATCGCCAACGCCACCGCCAGCCGCCGTCGAGGAAACGATGGACGCGACGAAGCGCGGGCGAGTCGAAATTTTGATCGACCTCAACATTCCATTTAATAACGTCTACCTTGATATTCTGAAATCTACACTAAGAGAAAAAATACCTAAAAATTACTAGATATTTACTTGGTGGGTGCTAACATTATATTCATTTACGTTCTTTCTTTTAAATAGAATAAATAATTGTCTTGATGAAAAAGAAATTGAGGTTTTCTTAAGATTTTAAGAAAACGTATATTTTCCTACTTAGTGTGTGTTGAACATACATTGAACTTTCAGAATATATATACGTTAGAAGATTCAATTCAAAGAGTGGGGCTAAAACTTCGACTCGGAATATCATTAAGAAATGCACGCGCGTTTCGTCGCGAGTGTGGAATTCATCGTCGGACGCGAATCGATACAGCCCCCGAGAGTGGCAGCCGCAGTGGCATCGGCGATTTTGATTTATCTGCTGTATTTTGCGCGCGAACGAGATAGCCGGCGCGCACGAAGGCGCGTACCTGGATACGCACGTATGCAAAACGCAGGCGTGCATCGTTCGACGTAAACGGCTCGTCCTCGGCGGCGGTGTAACGACGCCGTTTACAGGCGCGAGTTTACGCAGCCGGGATCGATCCGCGCACTGCTCACGGGCGAATAGAATTTTTCGAACGGCGCTGTGTCGTATAAGAGAGATGACGTTCGCGCTCGTTACTACACGTTGCAACGGCGACTAACTGCGCGCGCGATCGGCTTTCATTCCGATTGCGCAATAAACGCTCTTCTAATTACGCGGCCCTCGTTTCGATGCCGACGCGACGACGCGGCGGTTACCAGCTTCGATGCATCACATTGCCATTTCGCTGTGCGTGTGTATCGCGGATTATTTTTTAATTTCTACGCGAGAGCATTCGGTATATTTTATTAGCCTACGGTCAAATCCTGTGGTCGTAATTGCACGCGTCAATAGAACGTGACTGACGTAGCTGGAAAACGTTATCTTGCACACGGAAAAAATACAATTCCGTTAGTGTAACTGAATATTTTGTTATCTGGGAATATTCTGTTATCAAGCGAAAACACGACTGAAGGTACAGAGAGATCCCTGTGGGGTTTCTACTCAGCCAATTGCCTCAGCTGAGTTTTAATGCAGCTGAATATTTAGATGAATGTTTTTAGTCATAGTGATAGAGATATTATTTCTTGTCACTGAGTTTTTCGTCTGGTCCCCGTTCAGTTACACAAATCTTTTTTTGCTCGTGCAGATTTACGTTGAATAAAAGAACGCATGAATTTAGAGGCATACGTTGCACGCAAGAATGTATGTGAAAAATGTTAAACGTTATCCCGTAAAATATCTCGCAACGGTAAAAATCCGAATATTTTTGATAAAATAAACTATGTGTGCATAGGTTGGCAGGTGAGTATGTGTATGTAGCTGTTTATCTTTATAGATGTTACCTGTGTAGGTGTTAGGAATGAAAGTATGGAAAGATAAATGGATGAAAATATGAATATATAACTCCTTCCATGTGCATTTTATGTGATGACACAACGGGATAACATTTTAAAATATTTATATTTATATCTTTAGTCATTGATTCTAAAAAAACTTAATTTTTCTTGTGACTACGCTAAGAAACCAAATACTTAAAAATTTATTTATGGGATACAAAGCTTACTTCTGTAAAATAAAGTTTATTTTTGCGAAATAAAATTTATTTCTGTGTGAAATAAACTTTTATTTCACACATATACAAATAAATTTTCAAGTATTTTTTGCTTAGTGTAGCATTGCAACTAAACTTTTTATTTACATTCTTTAATTCCAAAAGAGATTCTTTTAAATAATAACCTAACAATTAAGATTGTGAACCAAGTCTTCCTAAACAACAATGATTAAGGAGGATGTCGATAATTTACTCTACTTGATCATTGCCGATGTGGCACATGTCGCATTCGCTCATCTCAGCCGTTTCCTCAGTTGCCTACAATTAGTTTAATCTTGAAATTCCCTGGAGGTAATATCGTCTCCAATGAGAGAAAGGTGCACGCAAGCTAATGAATACTGTATTCATTTCGTTCTAGTTATTAAAATAATTTTCGGTAGCGAAAACTCTCTCTCTCTCTCTCTCTCTTCTCGACGACTCGACGAATGTCGGCGATACAAGTCGTCCTCGAGCGATCGTTTTTATTATTATATCTGTCGCTCGTCCTCCAATAAGGTTTATAATCCAATAAGGCAGATTTAATTACAAAAGACGTATAGAGACCAGACACGTTTATTGATAGCGAGCGCGGCACAGTCGATAACTATCCGAGGAGGGTGTCCGAGGAGGATCTCCAACGTTTAAACGCTAATGGAATTAACAACGTGTAATTAATATCGTCCGAGAATTTCGCGGGTGCACACATGAAGGGGAGATTGCTAAAGAGATGGGGCAGTCTCGTGGATGCGTTTAGGATATTCGCGTAATTATTTAGAGAAGCGATGCATATGCACGTATATATGTGCGAAGGTAGGATTTATTAATTAGCAGCGAGTCGTTTAATTGAATTCGCGTATAATCGATTTACATTGACCTGCACGCGCGTACGTACTTTCATCTACTTTCCCCGATATACATATATAAATATACGTGTGTGTATACAGAGTGATTAGATTTAAGAGTCCAAGCACAAATAGAGCGAATGAGACTGAATAAAAAAAGATCCTCTACCATTTTGCGAATAACTACAGTAATTGTTCTTTTGTCCAGTAACGGTATCAATCTCGTCACTGTTACAATAGAAGAGACGAAGAAAGGAGTCTGAACAATCACGAATAAAAGAGACTGTGTGTTGCTCGTGTGAGCGTGTTTTACCGTACCTTAATCGATCACGACTCTTCCAAATGACCAAACGAAAGAGAGCATCACAGACACATGCGGGGATGTATCAAAGAGATTACTCTTTGTTTCATGTCGCGACATCGACTCATTAGCGAGCTATAGCCGTTTAAAGCATCGATACCAGGTTTTGATTTGGTTAGCATCAGACTGAGCGTGCCACCTGCTGTCGCGCCGGTGTACCACACTTTCATGCTATCATCTTCTAAAGTGAACAACCGCGTAGCCGCAGCTAACATGGCCGAACGACGACGCTTGTCTGGGCCGCGGAGTGCAGAGATAGCGAGCGACGCGATTTAGCCCAGTTTTACCAACATCGATTAAGTCTAAACTTGAGTTTAAACTGTCTTCAGACAAAGACAAACTCAGGTTAAGGTTTAATCGAAGTTTAAGAACGTTGGTGGAATCAGGCCTTAGAGTTCCTCAAATAAGAGTTAGAATATCGATGTTGATTCCTGGTTGGACTCAATTCTATTCGCCATTAGTAGGGAAGACACGAGTAGGAATAAGAGAGAAGCTCTAAGATCGAAATAACGAGAAACACGTTGCAGCTTCTTTCTCACTCATTCGTTTCTTCCCTTTAAAAGGTGATATCCTAACTCTTACATGAAGAACTTTAGCATGCGGGAGTTACCCCATAGTGCGCCAAAGGGTTAGCATCGGTCGATCGAGAGCGCGAATCAATACAAATGTCAATAATTCCATTTGTAGATGTTGTAGCGACTTGAAACAAGAAACATTGGAAAAAAATTATTAGTGGATATGAGATCATCTTCCCGTAATAAAGATAAATAGCATAATGATGTAACTATGATAGACATCGGCTTTTGTTTTAACACTATTATACGTTACAAACTAATAAGAAATCTTGGTTTGGATTTGTGATGTGAAATGTCAGTTATATGTTTCTAATGGATATAAAGTATACAATTTTAAAGAAAAGCAAAATGGTAACAAAGGGAACGGTTCAGATACACAAAGTATCTAGATTCAAATATTCAGGCGCTCGTAGGATTCATTAAACTGAACAAAAGAATCTCTGGTAATTTGCAAGCAAGCACAACAATTGTTGAGATCTTAATTATAAAAAATTTGTCAATCGGTCCATCGTATTGCGCGCATCGATAGATCAATTTCCCTTCGTTAATACATCGACAATTACCGCGGTAGTTTGCCAAAATGACAGATAATTTTCCAATCAGTTTAATGAGTTTTACATGAGCGATCGGATACCTAAATCCAGACACCCTGTATGCACGCCTGCGACGAAGATATATCAAATTTCAAACCGCGTCTATAATCTCGCGCCGACAATCTCGTCGGCGATAATTACAGAGGCGCTTCCGTCATTCTGGCCGATGTGTAATTTCACACCGACGGTTTTAAGAAAATGCGATTTTCGCGCTTGATTTCGAGCCGATCGGTTGCATTTGCGAGGGGGTCATCGCGTCTGTGCGAAGGCAATCGGACGTATAATGGGGTACGCGGCACTTTTACCCCCCTCCCCCTCCTCCCTTCGTCGGAGTAATTAAGGATAATCGATAACAGTTCCCAGCTGTATTCTACATACGCGTACGACATATACATACATACGTACAGATCTAGCCGTACGTTGATGATGACATCGATGATCTGGTCGAGGGACACGCGGCTTATCACCTCCGTACACTCGGATACCGCTTGTATAGGACGCGGCGCCCTGGCATTCCGACAACATGCGTGTTCTAATCTGAATTAATCCGAACTAGCACGCCTTTGTATATACTATCGCGCGGATATTCACGCATAAATTGTGGCGGCTGCGGCGACGTGTGTTACGTGTACGCAGTACGCGGTTATCCTATTCCGCGGCTGTCCAATTTCGAGCAGTCGATTGCGCACACGCGAGCCGTGTTCAATTTCCGAAAAAAAAAAAGTAACGAGTTTGCGCGACGGGAGACTGTAATAAGAATAATTCACGACAATTCATGTCTCCAGAGCGCGACAACGCGACAATTTCGTCGTGAACGCAACGCTCTTACTCCTCCAACGAGTGCTCCAACGTTAATCACTCGATGACGTGGAAAATTGATCGATCTCTCCGGTACATAAGAAATAACGCGTTGTTAAACGCTCGGAGTCCTTAAAATCGACGACGTCGCTTGACATATCCGTGAAACTTCGCGGCCGGGAACCTAATGAATCAGAAGTAGCAATTTAATCGACAATGAATTTAGTCGGAGTATTTAGCGAACAATCGACGTGAGAGAACGAGTGGTGGAGTAATTGAGACGCGCATTTCCACGCGGGCGGGACGCTCAAACGTGATGAGAATACGTAAATATCCATTCTGCGGTAAGCTGTCACGTCTCATAGAGAGGGAGGGATAGAGAATCGAATGCTCGCTCGGTAAGACACGGGCTTATACGTAATTACATCCTATTCGTCCAATCAGCTTCCGCACGCGGCGGAAACTCGACAGTCTCTCTCTCTCTCTCTCTCCCGAGGACGACTATGAAATCGATTTCAGGTACATAAGTCATATTCGGCTAACTCGCCTCGTATCCTGAAGTTTGTGATTGATGCTATTGCCGAGCCAAGGATGCTAAATGGAGTATGTCCGCTTTTCGGAGATAACAGATATACCCGTGGAAAGTGCTCTGCGAACTTCCGCGGGTTCATACAAACTGACACCGAAGTTTAGCGAGCCGGAACCCCGGCGTTGAGATGGGTACGCGAAACAGCGGCATCCGCCAGTGACTTACTTGTTGTTTTTGTAGGGCGGCCACTTCGCCGCACACGGGTCCCAAGCCGGTGAGCTCTGTGTCCTTCCTTATCACCCATTCGATGAGCTCGCGCAACGATAGAAGCAAGGCGTTCCAGTGTTCGGTGTTGCTCTCCAATCGATTCCTGCGCAAAAAAAGAAACACGCGCGTTCTCAGTGACAAGGGATACACGTGAGTATCGCTGTTTCGTGTGTGTATGAGCTGTTTATTCTAGCACACGTCGTGTAAACACCGAACGAAAGTTTCCTTGAGATCACGGAGGTTCGTGAATGTCATCTTATACTTTATACTCGAGAGGGAAGAGAGATACTATGTTCTCTCGACGCGACACTGATGGACATTCGCAGCGCGATGCAAAATACATACATATACGACGGGCGTAACAGCGATGGGGAAGGAAGATAGAAAGAGAGAGAGATAGATGCGCGTAAAACGACGTGTCGTAAATGCGAGTAAAGAGAGTACATATTTGTTGGGGACAGACGGGTGGTAGTCGTCGTCGAGAGAGAATGAGGAAAAGAGATCGGCAAGGTAGAGCGACGCAAAGTGGATGCAGTAAAGAGGAGGAGGAGGAAGAGGAGGAGAAATGCAAAAGCTCGACGTCGCTGGTGCCAAGAGTAACACCGGGGAATGAGCAGAGGGAGAAAAGTGACGCTAGAACGAAGGAAGAATACCAACGAAAAAAAAGGGGGAAACTGATAGATACTTAAGATAAGTGGATCAAGAAACAGACAATTGTAAGGAAGAGAGCGAGCGGAGAAACGAGAGAGGCGACGCGTTAGCGGCAGCGTAAATCGAAAAACAGAAATCTCGAAAAACGCGGGAGCAGAGATGGAGTGTACTTGCGGATAAGACGCGGTTCGAGTAAAGCGGGTAAATACGGGAAGCCAAAGAGTTCCGAGAAAATTAAAACGGACGAGTATTCTGAGCGGAGACGCGACGAGTAAACCGTGCGCGACTGGGGGAGAGATGGGGGACCAGTGGCAAAGCCGATCGCGGGAAAGAAAGAGAACGATTTCAGGCAAATTGGAAAAATACGGGGAAAAAAGCGACGCGGACGGGCGACGGGAAGCGCGCCGGTGTACAAACTCTCCGACTATGAAATGAGACGAATAGAGAAATAAGAAAACAGTGAAGACGGTCGGCGAGGAAAACAAAAGACAACAGTACCAGGAAACGGCGAGATCAAAGGACGTGGATGAATAGAGAGTGAGAGAATGTTCGTTGATAAGCGCGGCAGGGAAGATAAGGGACGCTCCGTCGGACAGACAGTCAAGACAACGGAAAAACCAGATTGGACAGGTGACTTTGGACGGTGAGGTAAGAACGCAAAGTAAAATCCGATCGCAATGAGACGACTCAACGGGGAAAGATAAGAGGTGGAATATGCAAATGGGAAATTTGCAGCAGGAGCGAGAGTTTCGAAGGAAGTCGCGCGGGAAGGACAAGAAGCGAGCGAGCGAGTCGGCGAAAATGGATGAAGGATAAATATTGAAGAGAAGTGATAAGGTGGCGGGGCCGTGTGTTTTGCTAATAGTAAGTAAATACCGTTGGACCCGGAAGTGCCGGAAGCGTGAAATAAAATGAAACACCGGTGGGAAATCACTGGAAGATGCGGGAGCGCGAGAAGAGGCCGTATACGGAGGAGAGATGGTCTCAAGAAGAATGAGGACTCGTGACATGCACCGCTGGGAGGAAGATGCTACGGGAAGCAGCAACTCGGAGAGGCTGGCGCGATGCAAGGAAGAGGAAGACGGATACATGCGAGATAAGTCAAGAGAAAGAGGAATTAGTCCGAGAGCAGGTGATCTCGTATTTATTCGAGATGATAGTCCCACCGGTCCATGCACGTACAGATCACGTCTAACGGTATATAATATAACGTGACGGCGCAACGCGGCAAAGAAAACTCGACGGAAGCCGGCCAAGGAAATACGTCGGCGCGAACTCTTACGTTATTGCGGTAAAGCAAAGATTTGAAGGATGAGCGCGGCTCATCTCTTTTTGAAGCTCCATTACATGCTTCGAACTGTTGCACACGAAACAATCCGCGCGAACGCGTTGAATTGAAAATTGGAATTTTTTGTAAAAATGCTGAAAGTTACAATTTCCTTCTTCATGAGAGAAACACGTAGAGATTCGTAGGAATATTCAATGGAAAATTTAGATACTTTGCAGCACGTGCGTTACATTTTATGGCTCTGCGGAAAGTGAAATCTTTAAATTTCACGTCACGTTGAGATGTGTCTGAGATGTCAAGACTCTCAATTATTCTGTATCTGATACAAGAATCAAATACAAAAAGATTCATATGAAAGAATAAAAAAAAAGAAGAATACCATCTACTACGTTCTGTGTATCCCCTTTTATTTCATCTCCCTTGTTTAATGCCCGTTCATTACCTGGCCGGAACGACTCGCACGCGAATAAAATCCAAAGTGGCCCGAGAATAAAGAAGCTCCGCGTAGAGGGCGAATTAAAGCGGAAGACAGAAGCTCAGGACGAGAGCGGCATAAAGAGGTAGGAAGCGCGAAGGAGGGCCAGGAGCTGAATGGCGCTGCTGAGAGAGATCCTCGAGAGCGAGGATAAAGATCACGCGCGCCGGCCACAACGAAGGGCAACGAGAAGGAGGAAAAGCGACGGCGTCGTCGTCGGTCGTCGAGGGCCCGCGGAATAGACGAAAGCGGAAGATAAAGGCGCTACGTACGGGCGAAAGGAGAGCAGGAAGGATGGCGGTCGGGATTTAGATTTATATTTCACCATTGTTGCGCCGCCACCGCGGCGGCACCCACTTACTAGGTCGCATCCAACAATCCCCCGAGGTCTCATCCCCCTCGCGACTCGCGCAAGCCCCTCGTCGCGCGGGAGAGGGCCCGTGTCGTCGTTGCCGTATCGCAAAGAAACAGCCCCGTGCTCGGATATATTGCAGTTATTGTAACGTCGATGAGAGCTCTACGGAATTCCGCGCGGCAGCCGCGCACTTTTGTGATCCGGGACGAGTGCACATACACGTACACACGCGCGCACGGAGTCACAACCGCGCCAAGTGATATTGCACTCTCCTCCCAGGCAGATAAGGACGTAAGGATATTTCGCGCGACTGATGGCGGTGCGCGCGCTGGCGGAGTTACTGGAAGAAATCGTCCTCGTTGCTCCGACGAATCGCGAGTATAAACCTCTTCTCGGTCTGAGTGGCCGTCATGTGGACTGATGCTCGCGCGATAAGTTTATTCAGAGCGGTGCGAGGGAAGAAACTAATAATTCTAAGGAGCGATGGTTCACGCGCGCGCCCCACGGAAATCGAGCTTTATAGCACGCGAGGGATCGCAAAGATTGCCTCGTCAATCATACCATTTGGAGCTAATATTTTTTGCATAAATCTTTTAGCACGCTATACCAAACCACAGGAGATAAAGGAAATCGGTGTGCATCAATTGGTGAAGGTTACTTGTGAGAGGAGAAATGGTTGATTTAACTAAAATTATAGTTATTTTTAGCCTCAACCATACTTTATGGTTATTTTAATACGAAAATGATAGTGGTAATATATATATATATATATATATATATAAGATTATTATCATTAAAACTAAAGCAGAATTAAAAAAAATGGTTTCCTTGAATTGTAATAATTATTTCTCTAAGTGATTACAGTTGCAAATGCCAAATATTTCTTTCTCTATGTAGTTTTGATCCTTCGGATTTATCCTTCGTAATATTTTCCACAGGGCGTACAGAGCTAGTTAATTTTGCTTTACTTGATCGTCACCTCACAGTCGTGAAGAATCATCACGTCTCGTCTAGATATTATTAATTTTAATTAATCACGGCTCATATATGTGGACACATATTCGCAATTTATCGCTGCGTAATTGATAAAAAAAAACGAGGTCGGTGTGATTAATAGGACGTCCGTCGGACCCACGTCAGTAATGGAATCTTACGGTCACGAAAGGGAATTCGGCGAACATCTATTTTCGCTCGTCGTCCGGCTGCCAGAAACAGGGGAACCTCTACTAACGGAAAGATATACTTCTCGTTCGTGCGATCGCATTTCAATTGAATGTTCCGTAAGTGGGTGCTGCAGTGTCGCCTCGGCGAACCTTGCCCTACGAGCGATCTTTACGACGTGCCAGGCTGATCTAAAATAAATCACCGTAGAATTTCCTGACCGGCTATAAAAATCTGCCCAAGGAGCATTACGTTCTTCACACCCATTCGATAAAGTTCCCGACGCAGTCTCGAGTAAATAAATCATGGTCGACGCGTTTCGGCGCTGGGAGCTTTATTGGGAAAGTCACTCGCGACGGCGATACGATTGTTCGTCGATTAGCGAATACCGTCGAGCACGTTAGTCTTCTCTCTGTACACAACGCGGCAAAGTAGTTTCTCTCTTTCGCGCGAGAAAAGAAAGCAAAGGGTAGTGTGATCGGGCTTGTTAACAGGTTTTGTACTTCGTGAAGGCGCGTGAAATTATTTCGACTCTTTAAATCTCTTCAACCGATGTTCACATTTGTGCGAAAATATGCAATGGGAAACTTGTTACGAAGAAGATAGGAAATATTTCTCATCTGATGCTTTTGACAAAACTTCTATTCTTTGTTGTGTCAGCCGTTTCATTAGTCTTCATTAAAAAAAAAATTAACAAAACGGTTGAAATTTCAAAGTTGTTGTTTTTAAACAAAAAATTTCTTTTTACTTCACTGTGCGCCGGTCGAGAATTTGCAGAAAATTCGCTTATGTGGACGCAAGAGGACGGTTTGATACGAGTTCGTTGCCGTTTAAAGTTTCGAAAAAGGAGAGAAGCACGAAGCTGAATAGCGAGACGCAAAAGGCGCGCCGGCTGAACTTCTGATTGCGCGAGATCGCTCCTGGTTAACAGAGTACGCGACCGGGGAATTACGGATAATTAAGACGCATAGTTCGTCGAGCGGAGTCCATGTAAGTCCGACGAGACGTGCACGGAACGGCGCAATCGTGGCGTCGATGTAGCCGGAGAATTTAGGATAAGTCGAGTTAACAAAGCGACTTCTACAACGAAGTCGCCTTTAATCCGCGCGCGTTTAGGAAACGTCTGAAAACACGCGGAGGTCGTTACGCGTTTCTGGCTTTACGTCGGATTCG